TATGTCTAGAGTAAATATATATATATATATATATATATATATATATATATATATATATATATATATATATATATATATATATCAGGTCATCCCATTACATTTAATTACAGATTCAATCAACAATGTATTTTCCCTGATTATCTATGACTTCCTTCATCCATTAACAAGCTTACTAATTCCATTATTGTAAAATTCTTTTGGCTTTGATTCGAAGAATTCACAAATGTCAGTTTTAACCTCTTCCTGTGTTACAAAAGCTGATTCTTCCAAATGATTCTGTAAGCTACGAAACAAATGGTAGTCTGAAGGGGAAAGATCGGCAGAATAAGGCGGATGAGGAATTTTCTCCCAACCAAGTTCTTCGATCTTTTGTGACGTGATTCTTGCTGTGTGGGGTCGCGCATTGTCCTGATGAAACATCACCTCTTTTCGATTCACTATAAAGCAGGTCTTTTTTCCTCAAAACTTGGTTCAAACGCTCTAATTGCTGACAGTATATTTGGGCATTAATTGTTGTATTAGGTGGTAAGAATTCAAAGTGGATTATTCCTTTGCGATCCCACCAGATTGAAAGAAGAACCTTTTGCCCATGAAGTTCCCTTCTCGGCTGTGGCTGGGGTCTTTCCCCTTTACTAAGACACTGCCTGCAAGTTCTTTCATTCACACATTCCTCTCCATAAACTGAGTGAATGTTTCTAGCCGCTTGGGCTGCTGAGTTTTCCTTTCTTGAACTCATAAAGCATTATGTGCCTCAAATGATTCTTGGGTACTTCCATGTTAGCAGGGTTTTAATCAAACAAAATTTAATTTTATTGTTCTCTGAAATAATATTTGATCAGTTTAAATGCATCTAAACATAAAAATAATGTTCAGCTCCATTAGACATGATAAAATACTCTTTAAATTTCTTTCATTTTTACAAAAACTTAAAATTCGGAAAGAATTTATGGGATGACCTGATATATTATATTATATTAGACAGCATATATTTTATATTATAAAAAGAGATATATTGCTAATTGATTCAGTGTATGATTATCTCTTTATAACACACACACACACACATATATATATATATATATATATATATATATATATATATATATATATATATGTGTGTGTGTGTGTGTGTGTGTGTGTGTATAAATGAAAAGAAGAACAGAAAGATATATATATCCGGTGTTGATATTATTTATTTTTATTTTACAAAACATTATTGTTCTTCCATATGTCTAGATTATATATATATATATATATATATATATATATATATATATATATATATATATATATATATATATATATATAGACATTTATATTTATTTTAATCCTCTTGGTTCAATTTCTTAGTACTATGTTACAAAACTAAACAAGAAAGATGCCGTAGGTATGGTTATTTCTTTTAATTTCCCAAGTACTTTCGATCTCATCCAAGATCATATCTGGGGTGAATTGCGAAGAAAAAAACTTTTATAATTGTTAGTTGAAATTTTTTTTTGCAATTTCTTTTATTATTAAGGTTTCAAAAATAAACAAAGAGCAATTTTTTTGAAAAATTATACAAAAAATATATTGAGCATACCAAAACATTACTTTTATAGACATTATAAAACATTGTTGCTCTACTCAATTAATTTTATTTACTGTCCGTTTCTTGATATATATATATATATATATATATATATATATATATATATATATATATATATATATATATATATATATATTATATGAATACACTTAGTGCATACGCTCAGAAATGAAGAACCTGAATATTGCATTTGGCATGAAATTCCGAGTAGAGCTAACAGTGTGGGATATGTATATTCATTTATACATATATTTATAGCTTTGTTATATAACATCGAGCTCTGTTTCAATAACACCAGCACTTTATGTGCCATTCACACACACATACACATCTATCTATCTATCTATCTATCTATCTATCTATCTATCTATCTATCTATCTATCTATCTGTCTATATATATATATATATATATATATATATATATATATATATATATATATATATATATGTGCATTTATATGTATATATATATATATAATAAAGAAGACAACATTAAAAATCCATTTCGGCTAAAATTTATTTCGTGAGTATTTTCACATATTCATCCCTTCAGACAAAAAGTTCTAAATCTTGATATATATTCTCCGTCGGATGCAACCCTTCAGTCACATTTGTGTTTCTTTAACATCCAGATAACTGCATCTATGCTGATCAATCCTTAATTACAGCTCATTATCTGGTGAGATGTGCAGTTTGCACAAGGCCAGTTACCACGATGATATGTGTCTTCGTGTGAGCAAAAAAAAAAAAGAAAAAAAAAGAAATATCGATGGCTTCCGAAGAGTTCTGTTTCACGTCCACGTCTTGCTACGAAGTTTCTAAAGTGCTGAGCGCTTGAGTCGTTTCAATGTCGGAACGGTATTAAACGAATCTTCGTAATATTGCAATATTTAAAGATTTTCGGTTTCGTTTGTTTTGTATGTGATATTTAAGAATATTTGATGATACTGAAAATTCCTCAATGAAGCTGTGTTCTTAAAATTATTATATTAATGACCAAACAAATTTCTTATAAATTATTTTATTAATGACCAAACATCAGCTTTCTAGGAAAGGGTTCAAGAAATTGCATGGTGAAAATATTAAATAGAAAAATAATTCCATGTTCATTTAGACGTTTCTTTGTAATCTATGAAATGTCACGACTTCTTGATAAATCTAGTCGATTGGGTTTTCTTTTTCGTTTTCTACGGTTGTGAATTAACATTTACTTTTCACCTAAACTCTTTGCCACCCCGGAGTAAAGGTTAGTGTCTACCAATAACTAGTCCTGGGTATGACGATAAACTAAACCCGGCAGCAAGGCCGCTGATTTGGAAGATTGGAGGTTTTGGGCGTGAAACCACTTCTTACTTGCTATTGTTCCCAAGAACACACTGACTGGGCAAATAATGAACCCCCAAGCAAAAACAACATACGATGAATATATAAAAATACATTTTTATAGCGAAATGTCTAACAATGCCTATTTGTAGTAGAATGTGCATTAATATATTTTATTGCAAAATGACCAGCAATACATTATATCTTTAGCTGAAGGCATACAATTGCGTACCATGTATTTAGATTTCAGAATTAAAGGACCCATAGAGGTTGATATAGATTTAAACAAATATCTACCAAACCAAGTCTACTAACAGTTTAAGAAGATGGACAAGAGATGGGCCCTTTTTTTTCTTTTTTCTTTTGTTTTGTTTTGTTTTTGCTTTTTGTCTTGTTGTCTATGTATACATACTGTTGACCTCATCTTTGTTACAATATTCACGACGTTTCGGCCTTATTCAGGTAACTGTAATTTCGAATTGAACCCATTATTTCGTTCTAGTTCGCAATGCCATGCTTCTTCCGGATATTCTAGTATCAGTTATTTCCCTTTTAACTCTACTCTCTAATTTTTTTTTTTTTTTTTTTTTTGTAAACACGAGTCTCGGTTGTAATTTCTACTCGGCCCACCTACTTTATTTCTACCATTTCCAGTTTACGTTACTCGTATATGTAATGGTAATACTTTAACCCATGTGTAATGGTAATTGTAATATTAGCGGTTACATTATTAGGAAACATCCGGTTTTCATTATCAGAGCAACCAGTGCTGCTGTCAGTTGGCAAATATAAAATCTTTCTCTCAAAACATTTTTTTCAGGAAAATGGATTTCTCCTGCCCAGTAGGCCAGTAGCTGTTATCACTCTTTCCAGTAGTGCTGGAGGTTTCCTTCCTAACCTTTTATTTGAAGTACTGTGGAACGTCAACATCTTGATTATGTCATTATTTTCTCTTCCTGTTACGGGTGATATCCAATTTAACTGTTGTTTCTTTTAAAAGTTCTCAATTGATGTTGTTTCTGTTATTTGGTACAGGTCTTTGTGATTATGTAGCGCCAGTTCACAAGGTTCGAAGCAGTGTGGTCCTCACGAAGACTTAATGACTTCACTCGTTCAGAGCCAATTTTAACCATTAGAGTTTAGAAAGCAGTTGTATACAGCTGACAGTTGAGATATAATTTTAATGGGTTTGGTATGGTATTCATATGAAAGGTTCGATCTGACGTAGTTATTTATGAACATGACCAGTCTTCATGTTAATGTAACATATACGTTTTATGGCTGCCTCACAAAGCATCATCTCTGATGCGGTCTGCAAAGGAGACGAGAAGGATGGTTTATGTGCTAGCTGGTGAAATATTATTAAAAATCAAACAACTTTTCGGACATTTGCATTGAAACTTGTTTTATTTGTGTATATATAAATGTGTTTGATAAATATATATATATATATATATATATATATATATATAGTTTCGGTGGACTGGTCATGTCTTGAGAATGTCTGATGACAGGATACACAAGATCCTAAAGTACAGCCAGTTAGATCAGGGCTACAGGAATGTAGGACGCCCATGGCTAAGATACAAAGCCAAGCTGAAGAGCAACTTGCCAGCTGTCAATATACCTCGAGCGCTTAGCCTTAAACCGGCTTGAATGGAGATCAACTTGTTTTAGTGGACTCAGCAGTTTTCAATCAGCTTGTCTGAATCGTCTTCAAGAAGCGAGAACAAGATCTAAAAGGTCAGCCAATCTAACCGTGATCTCATCTCACAATCTATCTATCTATCTATCTATCTATCTATCTATCTATATATATATATATATATATATGTGTGTGTGTGTGTGTGTGTGTGTGTGTGTGTGTGTGTGTGTGTGTGTGTTATTCAATATTACTCGCTCATTTTACTTTTTACTAGACTTTGAATTAGGACACTGTGTGCCCTTCCAACTGCTTTCATTGACCTTTTAACCCCCTGATGAACATGAAGGTTCTCAAATTTACAAGTCTTGATAAACCAATGACCTACTCTCCTCTGTGTATATAAACATGTGCAGCATAATAAATCTCTGAGAGGATGAAAGGCTTCGACTCAGTATAGTTTTTTCATCTTGTCTTTTTCTCTCTTGCTGTCTCTAACTTTCACTCTCTAATGGAAGTACCATGGAGTAATGGATAGTGGCTTGGATTGAGGAATCGGAGAGCCGATTTAGAATTCATTACGAATCGAATTCATTACGTTCACTTACATACTAAAGGCATAAATGCGCTTAATATTCTCCCTACCTCCACCAGCTACTGGTAAAAAGCAGGATCTCCGACTTGTAATATACGCTTTCTTTTATGTCTATGCATATAAACTTTTGTCCTCATCTTTGTTACAATATTCACGACGTTTCGGCCTTCTTCAGGTAACTTTAATTTCGAAATGAAACCTTTATTTCGTTCTAGTTCCCTATGTCATGCCTCTTCCGGATATTTCACTATCAGTTATTTCCCTTTTAACTCAACTCTCTAAGTTTTTGTTCACCTCTGCCGTAGTCAAGTGTTGAACTCACCACTATTTGGGTCAAGTCACTAGATTACTTCACCCACACTTTTATTCACTGGGCCATGTCTCTTTGAGAAAATCCGCGGCGTAAAACAGTCAAAAGGTCGTGAATATGACAACAAAGATTAGGACAACAGTCCTAACAATGTAAATAGTGTAAATATTTACAATACCTCATCTCAGAAATATTTTTACGAGTTCCTAAACGAAACCAAACTCATAAATAAGTTCATGGGTCAAACTACGACATGCCTATCCAAACGACTTACGTTAAACCTTGATGACTACAGTTCCATTGGAATTCAATTAAACACATACACAAAACTACCAGAATTGATCCGAAACATACTAATAGAAAATACAATCATAATAAGCTCATCCACATGTAAAAAAAAAAACGATTGCAAATAATGGAAGCATTAATAATAAAATAGAAAAGGCCAACATTCAATAATATTGACTCTGAATACGGTCTCAATGTGCTGACTTTATCCTGAAAATAAAACGTCACTATAATTCTACATATAAACATACAACTCATTGAGGAAGTAAAAACCATCCTTGATAATGTCTAAAAAGGTGACAGAATGCGTTCGGAATTAAGGAACATTTGGACAGTTTCTACACACTCTGTGTCCAGAAAAGAAAGCACATATTCGAACAGAAGAAAAATGAAATACAAAGCTTAATCGAAGTATCTTGTTTGTCGTCTTTAATGAAACATTTATATAAGAGGAGTTGCTGACTAGATACACAATGCATATGCATAAATACATACATATATATATATATGATACAACACACTGAGTGCTGGCATTAATAAAATTGTGCTTGATCTAATAGGGAAAAATGTACTCCGGATGAGATGTGTTCAGCATTTGCGAAACTTAGAAAATTGAAAAATTTTCAGCGTCCTTTCGTATTTATCTCTTCGTCTTTATATATTTATTTATTTATATATATATATATATATATATATATATATATATATATATATATATATATATATATATATTTTGTGTTTATATGTTTAAACACGTCCAAACAATGGCCGTTGTCTCCCCATCTTTTCTTATTATTAACTATTATTTTGTGTGTGTATGTGTGTGCATGCATGTGTTCGCGCTTTCAGGCCTGCACGGTATTTGTGTGTGTGTGCTCGCGTGTGCGTGCGTATGTGTGTGCGCGTGTATATGTGTGCGTGTATATGTATTTGCGTGTGTGTGTGCGTGTATATGTGTGCGCGTGTGTGTAAGTGAGTGTGTGTAAGTGAGTGTGTGTGTGTGCGTGTGTGTATGTGCAGAATTCCCATTCGAAAGACTTCCTTTTTGACTTTTTCTTGATTGTGTATGTCCTGAATACAGGAAGATTGTACCAGTCTTATGAAATTAGAGCTAAAAATAAAATACACACAGAAAAGAAAATAAATAATCGAACATTTCGCAAGAACCTGGCGAGGGAAAATACAATTAAGGTAACGCAAAGTGGGACTTTTTATTACTTTCTTCATCTCATTATTTTTCGCCTTCTCTCACTCACACTCCGCCTCTCTCTCTATGTTTCTCTCTTTCCTCAAAATTGGCCTGCCCTTCCTTCCTTTCACTATTCGCTTTACTTGTTTCTCTCTCAAAAGACCACCCTCTTCCTTAATCTCTCAAAACACTCACACGCACTCTCTCCTCTACACGTTCTCTAATAGCATCTCCCCATCAAAATCACTTCGTCTATTTTTTACGACGAAGGAATTCCCAATGGCCACTCCTTCCTTTTAAGCATTTTTCTTTCTTTTTCTTATATTTTCGTCGATTTTTCTCTTTTTTATATTTGTTCTTACCTTTCATACACCTTCCGGTTTATTTAGGACAGCTTGAATTATATGTACTTACTCCACCACATCCCATATATATATATATATATATATATATATATATATATATGTGTGTGTGTGTGTGTGTGTGTGTGTGCATTTAGGCAGCAATCTTTCTTTCATGCACTGTCCAATTGTTCTTTTTTTTCCGAGGGCTTGCGCCTAT